ACAAAGCTCCCCATGAGTGTAAAATTAAATTCTGAGTACAATAATGATTGAGAAGATTTGCGATGGAAGAGGACAGAGAACAAAGGACATGAAAACAGACAACCGGCACCGACCGGCAATGCAAGTGTGTGACTGTCTGTGGGTTTGTTTGCGTGTCTCTGTTTGACTTTCTTCCTGTCTTGCTGCCTCTGTCTCTTTGCCAGTCCGTTGTCACCCAGGTGTACTTGCACCGGTGGCGTGGGTTCATGTGAAGTCAGAGACAAGGGACTGTAGGTCGAGCCTGAGTTCAGAACAAAGCCTGACAACGCATGTATGTACTTGTAGGGGGTTTTGCACTAGGTGTCGGTCTGTGAGTATGTAATACTAATGTAGACTTTGGGATGTTTACCTTTTCTATCTTTTTCTGCAGTGTCAATCAATGCGATGTCTGCGATGTAGACAGGAGAAGCGCTCCCGCGAGTCTCGGAACGGCTTCCCTGGTCCTTGCTTGTGCTACGAGGTCTTGTCAAGAAGGAGAGGAGTCGGAGTTTCTGATTCTTGCATCGCAGGTGGCTCCGGATCCGCTTCGCGAGCTGTACCCCTTCGATGAGGAGTTTGGCACCTTTCCGACCTTTGGATTCGGGTGGGCGTCCGAGAGCGGTGGGCCGACAGCGAGGACCCGAGCTCTGCCCTTCCGAGGTCTGTCTTGGAAGCAGGGCCACGAAAATGGGCGGGACACCGGGACGCACGCGCTGCCCGGCTCTGGCCTTCCATGTCCCTGTAAACGCTTAGGTGAGCCAGCAGCCGCTGGCAGAGTTGCGATCTCAGACTTCTCAGATACATTCGCCTGGCCCTAGGCGGATACCTTGACATTCAGATACAGATGGCAGTGAAATCCAGAGTTGCAATGCTTGTTGCCTGTGCCTAGGCCGGTAGTTGCTCACCTCACTCCTGCCATCCCTGCGCCGACCGCTGCCAGTCCCAGCGAAACTCGGTGAGCAGAGTTGTCGCCGTTTCATTTGAGACAAGGGCAAGGGCCATGAGGGGCGCTGCGGTTGAAGTTCCGGTTGAAGCCTTTTGAAGCACGGAGCGCAGCAACCGGCCTGCAGCTGAAAGACTCACCAAAATCATGAAAACTCACTCTTGACTGAGCCCGACAGCATCACATGAAGTATACTCGAAGCTGGAGCTGCCATCTACATGGAGCACTGGTGCACCCAAAGGCAAGCAAGCTTGCAATGATTAGTTTGCACACTCATTGCGTGCTGGCTTGAACTTCCGCTGCGCTCGTGCACTGATACGATGACACAGGGTGCTGAGGCTCTGGGGCAATACAGAAAGTCTGTTGCTTTGAAATCGGCCCCGCTGTTATTGCATTAGTTAATGCACATTGGATTTCTCTTGCCGCAGCTTCTTCCTTGCGACGAGCTATTTTCGTCCAGGATTGGTGCTGTGCTGGTGTGTTCTTACACTGTTGTTACTGTTACCCGGCACAAGCCTGGCCATGGTATCGGTGATGCCACGTCCGCGCAGGGGCTTATAGGAGTGTTTCAAGTCTACTCCGCATCCGAGGAAGCCGCTGGTGCCCAGCTGCCGCCCTCCGCCTCTGCAGTGCCCGCTGTCGGAGCTTCTGAGGTGGCACGCGGTCCCTGCTTCCTTCATCCAGTTACCGACCCCATTTGTCTGGCTCCCTGCAAAGGCCGGCGGCTTCTTGACACGCTTGGCGCTTACCGGGAGGCTCCGTGCTTCTGAGTTGCAAGTTCAGCAAAGGTGCGGCCGAATCGCCCGCAGAAGTGCCGGAACTACCCGAAGAGGCCCTGAACAGATGACGGTTTTGTGGTGCCGGTACGATTCGAGTTCACGGCAGGAAGGCATTCCTCGGCCTAACACCAGTGCGGCAGCGAGAGATGCCAGTCTCAACCTGTTCCTCGCACACGGTCTCGGAGTTTTTTGAGAACTGCCGAGGAAGTTCCAGGGCCCATTGTTCCACCCCGACCCGAGGAGATATGTGCTTGTGATGACATCTCCGCCTAGATTCGTAGGAGTTAGTAGGCATATGTGGCAGGTCAGATGTATGCTCGCTAAGACGAGCTTCACAGATCTTTTCCTCTGGCTTCACTTGGCTTCCAAGGGCTCTAAGTTGCCCGGGTATTTTGGGGGTCGTTGCACCCGTCTTCGCCCCCTTGAGATGTTAAGATTATGCGACATGTGCGAAGTTCATGCCAGGGGTCGCTTGTGCAAAACTCTTCCCTGCAGGACCCGGACTTCTCGCATGGGGCCTTTTTGGCTCGCTTTAAATGTTCCCAGCAGTGCAGACTTGGACCGGGTTGCGACGATGCGGGCCAAAGCTTCTGTCTGAAGACAGGGAAAACAGAGAAAGACACAGATCAACTGCCAGGCATCTTCACCCAGTGCAGACGGGCTCCGGCGCCGGAGTGCTGCAGCTTTGGATAGCGAGGTGGGACCAGTAGGACCTGGAGGGGCAATCAATGAACACATCCCTTTGCAGAACTTTGAAGTGCCGTCTTTGGCATGGTCTTCTGCAGTTGCAACTAGCTATGCCAATGATCCCAACCTGCCCTGCGCATGCGTGCATATCCCCATCCTAAGCTTCATCATCTTGAGTTCAGGTTCAAGCGATGACCGCTAGTCCTTTATCTGGTTGCTGTGTGGGAAGCTGCTGTGCTGATTTCCATGAATGCAGCTTAGTCACTGCGTACGACCGGGATACGAATGCGTTGGTTTAGGAATATGTTTCAACATACGGAATTGATGAACAAGTTGTACTTGGATACCAGCGACTTGCCTCAGAAAGGTCTTGGCCGTTTCTTTGTCGGATTGGGCGTGGCCTGATTATCTCGCAGTTTCTAGCAGTCAGCAATCTGGCACACGTTTCCTGGAGCACTCGAAAACCAGTTTCGCGAAGTACAAAACGGCACAACGCCACGGCAAGAGTGTTCGGCAGTTTAGGCCGTACAGGTTATCGCCCACGGGGATTATGTGCTTATGTAACGACGCGGTCAGCTCCAGCTCGTGACAACGCAAATACACAATCGCCAAGGGCGGATGCACAACAGCATACATTCGTGTTCCACAGGACGCGCCTATGCTTTAGTGCTCACTTCGCCACCTGCTTGTGGGAGGACCCGACCAGACGGCGGAAAAGAGCCTGTGGGCGAATGCACAGCCAAAATCACGAAATTGCATTCGTATGCACAGCAGAAAAGGAAGGCGCAGCGAAGAAACGGCTCGCTTTGATCCAGCCTTTCGAGCCTGTTAAGAACCGCTTCCGCGGAGGTTTGTACCACTTCGAGTGTGGGCTGCAAGCAAGGGCTGTGACGAAGTGCGATTTCGGGCCCGCATAGAATGAGAACTAGCGTGAAGGCACCGCTGACTTCCCCTGTGCTGCGCTGGGACCTCAACCTGTCGGATGCCATCTGATTCGTTGTGGATTGCGCGAGCATGCTGCTTGATTAAGCCTTTACTGCTCACTCGAATTGGGTGCAGCAATGTGCAGCATGGCGCTGTTTGCAATTCTGACCGGCTCTTCAGGACCGGATGCAAACCATTCGGCCCCACTGCCACAACGCCTGGGAAAGCCCGAAGATGCATGGGCCCAGGCATTGCATGGTGCGTTTCAGAGGCCATGAGCATGGACAGTTGCGACTCGCCAAGGAGGGTAAAGACATCAAAGCAAAGCGCAGACGCCCCGAAAGGGAGGACAAGGACTTCATGCACATGCACGAGGCACTGCAGATGAGCCTGCACGTCATACAAGTCTGAAGACGCTTGAACCAGAAACGTGGTTCACAGGCGGCGAGGATGCCACAGAAATCAAAGCTGAGCATGGCACCCCACCGCACCGCCTTTTAAAAGCACTCGTGCCATCTCGTACCTAGCACTCGCAGATAAGGGCTGCATGTGTTATGATGCAAGTTTCGCATCTCCAGGAGCCAAAGCACTCAGGGAGTCAGCGTGCCGCACATGCTCGCGAGGCGCACGGCTCAGACAAGTGACAAGTTCTGTACAGAATGTAACTAGGGCAGTGAGCTTTGACAGCGCGCTTGCAGGGAGTGGAGGAGAAGCAGGCACGTGCTGTAAGTTCGCAAAGAAAGCCGAAGAGCATGCCGTGCAATCTGTCAGGGTTTCCTGAGCTCTAGTTCCTCAAGCTTCGGACACTATCACCAGGAGGCCGCGCTTCTACGACGGATCCTTTCCCAGGATTAGATGCGCCTTTCTTTTTTTGCTTGAGCATCCTTCCATTTTCAGAATTGCAGCTTGCAGTCTGCTGACACGTTGGTTGGTCAACATCTTCTGTGGTGGGCGCATGCTGTGTTGAAGAATGGAAATTGAACAGTGCGCATCGAAGCATTGCGATCTGCAGCCGCTGTACAGTAGTTATCTATATGATTGCACCGGATTGCGCCGCAGAGTCCACAAGACTGGCTTGGAGATCAGAGGAAACCATATGTTTCGGCGATGGGGCATGAAAATATCGCCAAACATCCGGCAGACGATTACAGCTTCCACGTTCTGTGTCGGAACGGCCTGCTATAAGCACGTGCGCCCTCGACGGATGTCGACTTCTGCAAGGTTGCAAGCCCGCCGGAAGTGATACGATGCGTCGCTCAGATGTTTGTGTCCATGCAAGGCCGCGCCCTCGCTGCCCAAAGGCCGAGGCAACGGCGCAGGGACCTGAGCCCGATAATTACGATATATAAGTATTAAGGTCAGAGAGAGAAAAGAGAGAGAGAGAGAGAGAGAGAGAGAGAGAGAGGAGGGAGGGAGGGAGGGAGGGAGGGAGGGAGGGAGGGAGGGAGGGAGGGGGGGGGGGGGGGCGGGCG